TTCACGTGACTTTACAGAAACGCACACATCACAAAACTAACTATAAAGAAGATGTCTTCTAAGTCTGTTTAACAACAAAAGTATCAGTGACTCCTTTGAAAGGGTGTGCATAAGTATAAAAGCCAAAATACTCCTGAGAAGCAATAAATATAATGGGATTAAAATTATCTTCTTGCACCAGACAGCTGAGACTGAGCATCAAGAAACCTCACATACCCTGGTGTGATTTAGGAAGCCTCCTAGTGACAGTGATCTGTCCCTTGTCCTTCTTGACCTCAGCTGCTATTTAAGGAATTGGGAGCATGGTGGGGAAGGGGCTTGCACATCTGAGCCACAAAGCTGTGGAAAAACCCGTGACTCAGAACGGGGAGCTTGCGCATGCCTATCCCTAAGGGAGCTGCTGCTCCCAGAACATTCCCTTAAGTGGGAAGATTTGTTCATTTGAAGAGTCAGTGTGTGAGGTTTTTCCTTCCCCTCCTCCTATGAATGTATATTCCTTTATATCTTTAAATATGCCTACATACACACACACACTGCTTGCAAAAATAATGACGTCTGTGCACGGATTTTTACATTTCAAAAGCTACTTCCTTAAATATCACTGAAAATAAATCATTGCCTAAAGAGATGTTTCCACAGAAAAATTCTTAAGTTCCTTAATGTGTCAAATTTAGCCTTTAATGGAATACACAGACCTTGTCCACATTTTTATGCCTAAATTTTAGTTATTCTATCAGTGACAGACTAACTTCTCACCCTCCTCACCCCATAGCAGTGGGTAGAAATAATTGTGTACTTGACTTTGCAGACGATTCCTTTTACTACACAATCAAAAATTTCTGTTATCCAGATCTTATGAAACACAGTAACAGAGGACTAAACCACCATAAATGCTGGATATCACAAATGGACCAAGCTCTTTGAATCAACTACATTTTCATACAGTTAAATGAAACAAAACCAATTCATTGAGAAAAGCATGAGGCTTCACACCGAGTTCAGCAGATTCCAAGTACACCAGGAGAACACCATGATGAATGGTAAAAGGAAGATGAAAATAAAAAACTAGTCATAAATGTATCTCATAGTCCTGAACAGAATCTTTTATCTCATGTGTTGAGCACAGCAATACACTTTCAAATTCCTAAAACAATTTATGCTTTTGACATGCAATGTCAAAGGACAGAGACACCAATCACTTGGCTTCTCCCATTCTTTTGATATTTTGAAAATCCTGTGAAGAAATTAAACATATCTTCTCACCCATCCCTCAACTGCCTCTTCTTCCCATAAGAGAATGGCTTGAATACAGTCTTCAGGAAATTACCCTGTTGGATCCAGATTTTTCTTATCCCTGAGCTGCAAAACCAGCCCTGGAAAGCAGAAGACAGATATTTTTGTCTTTGGCTGGTGATTACACTAAGTGCTCTATGAAACATTTTTTTAAAAGCAATACTAGAAAAAGCAAAAAGTGCAAGGTTGGAGCAATGGTTCCTTGCTTCCTCACGATTCTTGCCTTGCAGAAAAAGGCAAAGAGAAACAGCTTCAAAATGTTTTCCAGAAGATGGCTGCTTAGATCAGCTTGTATTCAGGAGGAAAAGAAATCACTGTGTTCCCTTATTTCCTCACTGTCTTGAAAACAAGGACCTGCCTTGGGATTTTAAGGTGATTGCACACGTTTGGCTGCAGACCCTGTCCATGACATGTGTCTTCTGACAAGTTACTGAATGCATCCTTCACCACAACACACACTGTATGATGGGATTGTTAGCTGACACACACTCTCATGGAGCTACTCTCTTTTTGTTCCAAGTTCAATAAAGCATTGAGGAAGCACAAAAAATGAGACACAGGTATGGTCAGTTCCATTCTTCATCTAATGACCTGACCTTAAATATATAGTGACGCATCATTTAAACAAAAAATGCTTGAAGATCCCTTTTCATTTACTTAGTAATCCAAAAGAATGCTGATCCTTTGATTTAACACTGAGCCTCTTTTTTAAGCAAGCAATGAAGATACCAATAACTTTTTTTCCATGCAGGAGACAAATATGCTCGTTCCATGTGTGACAATTTGGTTTAAGTTAAACTGGCAGTATCAATGAGACTGAAGCACATGCCTAAAATGCCTTGCTGAACTGGGACCATACTCTACATAACTTTCTCTCACAAAAGCTATGTCCAGCTGCTCACTGAACAGTCAGGAGATGATGTGGGTATGGGAGTTCTTCCATATTTGAAAGCTGTGTTCATAGCCCAAAAAATACAGTCCAGTTTCACTTTTTATAGAGAGGAGAAGAAAGCCTGGTGGCTGAGAAAGTATTAATAGTGTGAGGCCAAACATTAATCCAAGGACCACAGCCACCACATCACTTTCATAAGAAAGTTTACTTGGGTTGTTCTACAGCACCAAAGTATTGGTGACTGATTTCTAGCTCTGCCAGGGGACTCATTATTGCATTACTGACATGAGACTTTGAAAAATATGCACTGTTTAACTGTATGATTACAGCTGCATACTTCTCTCAAAACAGATTTCAATAAAATTAATAAAAAATCTCATCAACATTCAAAGTATTTTCATATCTAAAATCAGTCTTAATAAGTAAATGAACAAAATTATTTTCAAAGCCATTCAGTTCTGCTCATTTCCCTGCTCCTGACAGAACCAAAGGAAATACTTTTCCACAGATATAAACAAGCATATACTTCCATCATACAGGAAAAAAAAAAAAGGAATTGTTTAATTGACAGTCATATACCTGAGTGATGATCATAATGACAGTATTAAAATCATCACAAGCATCCTTACCCATGCTTGGATTCTAGTTCATTTACATAATATGTAAATTTACTGCCATTATCAAGTTTTGCATACAAAAACCAGTAACATTATTTTAAGGGAAACAATTTCAGAACCAAATACCTGTTTAATGCACTGTGCTTCACCTCTCATGTAGCATATTTTTGCTGACTATCACTAAAGTGCACAAGTCATAATTACATCCAAAATTTAAAACTTGGTGTTATAGCAGATCTCAGGTATGAACTCACTGCAGGAGAGGCCAAGTATTCCATTCCAACAACCACATACAGTGTGTGATCCATGAGAAATGTGCTGAGAAGCACAAAATTACTTATCAGTGAAAGGGTGGAAATTTAGGAGGTATCACAGAATGGTTGAGGATGGAAGGAGCTTCTAGAGGTCCCCTTGTCCAACTCTTCCTCTCCAGCAGGGCCACCTAGAACAGGTTACCCAGAACAGCTTCTGAGCATCTCAAAGGATAGGGAGTCCACAGCTACCCTGTGCAAGCTGTAATAGTGCCTCACAGAAACAAAATGTTCCCCTTATGTTCAGTGTAGTTCTATAAATTATTTTATTCAGCAGAAAAACTGGATTAAAATGCTTCTATACATGTACCCCTTCCCAATGCATCCATCTTTTTCTCCATGCATGCTGTTCAGAGCCCTGTTCTCAGCAGGATGCAGTTATTTCTGAAGTTGCACTTTACAGCAGACTGTTGAATTGATCCAACTTTAAGCGCTACAAAAAGAAACTTACTTAGAGGAAGGGAAAAAAAAAAAACAAACTCTACATGATTTTCTTCCTTTTCTTATTTCTTTTGGTTTTGTTTTTTCTTGTTTGTAAACCCAGACATCAGTGGAATCATAACCCACCTACAAACAGCAGCAAGGCAGCAGTGACAGTGAAAAGGACTTAAAATCCAGCCTCACACCACATTGTGTACAACCCCCAGCCCTGTTGTCCCAAGTTTGGCTCCCCAGGAAGCTGCATTTTGTGTGGACTCATGTTAACACCAGAGGCTAAAGTGGGCACAGCACTTGCACTGAGCAGAGAAGAGGTGCAGGGTACAGCAATCACACAATCCAACTCTTCTCCTCAATATAGGCCTGGTGCTGGAAAATAGGTGCAAGTAACATGACTCTGCCCCAGCTGGTGCTGAACCCTCCACAGCTAGGAAGTTCACAGAAGCCAAGAAGAAGGCCCTTTATTTTTTTTTTTTTCCTCTTTTCCACATAGAAGTGTGAAAGGAGACACGCTTCAGTATGTCAAGGATGTTTTACAGCCATGCTGCACATTGTGCTAAATGACAGTGCTGGGGAGGGGCAGGGTGGGAGCAGGAATCTTTATATAGCACTGAGAGCAGTAATTCAGCCCCTGACAGTCACATGAATACAGCCCTGCTGAACACAAACTGTGTCTTTCTCTGGCATTAGGCTATTAGGCAGATAAGGCTCCACTCTGGATTTGAAAGACTTACCCTGACAAACGATCTTGGTTTTTCTTCACCCTGCAAACGGTGGCAGAGGACTGGAGGAATCTCAGCACTTTCCACTGCTTATATAACAGGTGTACTCATAAATATGCAAAGATGATTTGAAGATGCAGTTTCTAATCTGTGCTTTATGCCTGAACAATTTAAATTACTTTCATCATGTAGACAGCATTGCCAGCTCTTTGCAAGTAGTTCCTTTATAATTTTAGTCTCTATTAGCTGTATTTTTGTTTAGTGTGGGTTTCACGTGAATTGAGAGGAAAAGAAAAAAAAAACACCCACACTGAATGGGGATAAAATTAAGAGAAAAGCATTTTTAGATGGAAAATAGATGTCATGACTTAGCTCCAGATCAGATTTCAAGAAATTTAAGATGCACATTTTCCATAAATGCCTCACACTGCATGGAGAATATCCTAATCTAGCTCTAAGCAAACATGACACAGTAGAAATAAACAATAATAACCAAGAAAGCAAACATCAAGCATGACTAACAGAACACATAGATCAGCTAGTGTCTCTACAGACTGTAAGTTTCAGCATTTAACAAGTTTGTTCCTCCAAGACAAATATTTGTTTGAAATCAACTTAAGAATAAAAGATTTCAATTTGCAACATGTTGGCCCTGACATGCTTCAAGAGCAATCTTTCACATGTGAAAAAAAGAAGCAGTTGTAAAAGGGGGCATCACATGAATTACCTGCATGATGATCCTGCACCAAGTCTACTGTAGTGGTGGAAAGAGAGATGACCAAGGAAGGTGGGGCAGGATGGTGGAATGACCCTGACAGGCCACACCACAGCCAGATGGCTTTAGAGAGAAGAAAGTCAGAAATTAAACAATGGGAGGAAAACGGAGAGGTGAGGAGAAGCTAAAAACTGTAGGAAAAGGCACATATGCTGGCTGTCACACAGAAACAGGTGATACCAACCATGTATTAAAGGGTCAGAAATGCTACAGAGCTTTTGTGGTAATGAGTTCCTTCAAGCAAATGAGTAACATTTTCTCTAAATATGGACTGGTTTCCCAGCCCTGAATGAGGTTCCCATCTTTCCACTGGGAGTACATCACAGCCCGTTGTTCCATATAAGTAAATGCTTTGTCTCAAATGCAAAATGTTCTCTTAGTACCACCATCAGCTACACACAAAGTGAAGAAAAAGTATCTGTTTCTTTCTGCCATACACCCTAGCAAAGATCCTTAAATATCACAGACTGCTTCTGATTATTCACTGCTTCTGACTATTCACAGACCTAGCTTTAAGGGAAGTACACCCATTAGTGCAGTCCTGATGCCAGCATAGCTTTTGCCATTTATTTTAGGTTAACTGGATTTCATTCCAAGTGAAAAAAAAATTACAATAATTTATTTTGGAAAAACTTGTACTCCCTCCTATTTGAGCCCCTGAAAATGAAGCTTCAGCTTTTACATTGAAAGTACTTCCATACTGCTATTTTGGGGAGACTTCAATCACCTTTCAATTGTAATTCCTTTTGTAATTTTGTTGTAATTCCTACTGTACTTTTCTAGGAGCCCAGCTCTGTGAGGTGTGGCTTCTTTATTGCCCATGCTGGGCTCAGGGGTGGAATGCAGAAACCTGTAAAGGAGGTAACCCAGTCATGCAATATTCTCAAAAGGAGCCTGGAGAAGAACAGGTGCCACAGTGTTTCAGAACAATGTGGCCATTTAGATGCTTTATCCTCTCCTAACTCTAACACAGCTACATGAGCAATTTTTGAGGAAGAAGGACACATAATATATTTTAGTGAAATTTAAGTAAGATCTTTAGGTAGCATCTACCGGCTACCATTTTCAAACTATCACTTTCTACAAGATACCCATTAGCAAAATTTCTTTCTAGGGAAAAGTCAGGGGAGACTTCTTTGGGTGTCTGAGTTAGAGCAGATTTACGACAGAGTAAAAAACCTGTAAAATTGTGCTGGTTTTACATCACAGAAGTGATGTTTTGGGAGAGACTGTTTCCTGTTTGGCAGTTTCCCCTGAGCACAGAGCTGTTGAGGGTTAAAAGCTCACTTTAAAGAAGAATTGGATTCTTCTTTCCAATTTCAGTCTAATCCAGTCCTAGATACTCAAATTGCTTTGGTCTGAGGAAGGCACAAATGATCAAGCTGGTAGCTGAGGCCTGGTGGCATTTCTAGTATATATCCTGCACCAGAATGTCTTATAAAGAAAGTCAAATATGAAACTGTATTTGTTATGTACCAGAAGTAACCAATTACAATACTTAAGAGCCATTGTGCATGTGAAGAAACATACATATGCAATTTCATATTTTGAATGATGTACAATAGACATAACATTGCAGGTGATATTACCTTATCAAAAAACACAGAAAAACACTTTGCAGGTCAGCCAAAGCCAGACCACCACCTTGGAATGGCAAACAGCATCACACAGTAAGAGAACTTCATGTTTCAGAGATGTTGTGGTTTTTGCATGATCCTCAGGACAGAAAAGAGCCCAGAGTATTTCTTCAATAATACAAAGAGTTGGTACACAAACCAGCTGGGATTCCTCTCAGGAGAGGGAAACTGGCACTGAAGAGAATGGGTCCAGGCTTCCTATACTTGTTTGAAAGGTATCCTAGGGAGAGAAAACTCTCATCTAGGTTACCACAAGTTACAAAATGTCTCTGAAGGGTCCAGCAGTCAAAAAATGAAATTTCACATTGCTGTGGCTATTTCTGAATGCATCCCACACACAGCTTCCCCACTTCTCACAATCACCTCTCTTGGCCACACAGCATCTTTGATAGTACAAAAAACAGACAGGAGGCTGATTTTCAAAGCCAAGGAAGAAATACCAGACTTGCCAGGGCCCCTCATCTTCTTCAGAATTACCACCAGGAGACAATACCAGCCACAGCATTATTGTGCTCAGGAAGAAAAACAGGGTCTGGGTTAAGCAACAACAAATATCTTCTCCCACTGCAAACAAAGGAATATGCTCTCTGTTTCACCTTGCTCCAGAAGTGACTGCTGGAGGTCAGAGACACAGCTTTGTGAAACTCCCAATAAACAAAAACCTTTTCACAGACTTTCAGATGGCAGCACAAAGGCATGGGGTCACTTTTGCTGCTCCTACACCTTCACCTATGGCTGCAGTGAAGGGCAAATACAAGTTACCAGTCAGCCACTGGGGCAGAAGCAAAGACATCACAGCAAAGAGCAACCTCAGGCATAGGATGCAGGAGGAATTAATCTTCAGAGAAAGTGAGTACCTGCTTATTTTTTATCCAAATCATTACAATGGACAACAGATTTATGTAAAAAGCAACAATTAAGCAAAGTACAATAAACTATAAGGAAGCTTTTAAAAATGTTATTTTTCTGCTATTTCTTGTTTATATAGAAGTCCCCTGAGCTACAGGCAAATATATGAGTAGCCAGTATTTAAGCAAGTATTATCAGAGAGGCTGCCTTTGATACCCTCTCAAACCGTAATGTATGCACATCCTTACAGTGTTCAATATTGACTTAAAACAAATTACTACTGCAAGCAAATGTCATCTCTACTAAAATACTGAAAACATACTAAACCTGAAATTCTAAGATGTTGCAGTGCCTCTTGGAGTTACCAGGAAAACATATACTATTGGATTAGACATTTAAACAATGCCACTACAAAAGTACTTAAACCAGCATATTTCTGGTCAAGGGTGGCTTCAGTGGTTTACATACCTATGTACACACACAAACTTCTCACATTTATTATGGCTTAGAAAGGAGCCAACCATCAGTTCTACTTGTGGGTAGATTTTTTTAGAAAGCTGTTGAGTCTTCTCTTCTATGCAAGTGTTTCAGTGTTTATCTAGTGTTATTAATCTTTTCTGTCTTATCTTCAACCTCCCTTTGTCTAATTTCCATTCCAAGGAGTTCAATCTTCTCATGTTTTGGACTGCTAATACTTTACTGTAGGAGAAAGTATTCCTCCATCCCAAACACAAGACTTCTCAAATAATCAAAACAAACTCCAATCTTTCTCCTGGTAAACAATGTTTATTAAGACTGCTTTAATCCCCAGTGTCCATGCCTCTACTCTTGGTCACTCTCTCAGATCTCTTCTGAACTGCTTGTCCAATTCTCCCAAGCCTCCCAAGCAAATCACAGGTCAGCTTTTGTAGGAGACACAGATATAACATTGTGACTGGAATGTGCCAAACTTTCAAACTTTAATAGCATAAAATTCATCATTATAAAATATAATACTTTTTTATCATCATAAAAAATATTAAATCTTACTGTGATAATCCCATTGCTGTTGCTCAACATAACAAATCAACCTTTTCTATTACAACACAGAGCCAATTTGAAGTATAGCAAATTAAAAGTACTAGCTGTTATTTCCCCTCTCAGAAATAAACATCACTCCACAGCCCAACAGTACTTTTTCCTAAAAAACTCCTCACTTCACAACACTCAGAAAACTTACAGCATCTACTAAAGAAAGTATTCATTATTTTTCCAGATTAAAAAAATATGGCAAATGGAACTGAGCTCTTCCAGAAAATTCAGCAAAGGGGTTTGCCATTATCATTATTCAAGTCCAAGTCTGGCTCCCCAGGAAGCTGTATTTTGTGTGGACTCATGTTAACACCAGAGGCTAAAGTGGAAAGAGCAAGGATATTTCTACATTTTTCTGTTTCACTAGGTAACTGTTGTTTGTTCATTTTCACGCATCTGCCAAAGAAGTTTAGCATTTCAAACAATTTCTACTTCAAGATTCTTCACTAAATTTCAACTGCTTGCATTCCACCACAATGCCATAATTTTAATTGTTCATACATTCATCAAAAATAATTGATTATTTAAATATTTCTTTCTATAAAGATAAGAGGCATGGCACACAAAATTCTAAATTTTGCTCACTCTCCTTGCAATTGTAACAATGAAAAACATGAATTAATATGACTAAGGATATCTCTTCAAAATAAAAAAGGTGAAGTTTTATTATTTGCTATTACCAGAAATAAATTTTCTGTACAATTCCAGAACTGTTCTGTAATGTGATATGAAAAGTCCAAAGAGTAGTTTGGTCTACTTTCTCACTAAATGGCAGTAATAGATGCAACACCCCTGCATCCTGCTAATACCACATAATTCTTCTGGAGGATCCACACAGATGGAATAGTCCAGGGCTGCCTTCTCTGAGGAAACTGTTGCTAGGGTCTCTCTATTTTGCCAGGCTGTTTATGGACACATGGACATCCACACAGTAGGAAAAAGAGTGTCAGAACACTTCGTTTCGGCCTCTATGCCAACCAGAAGTCTCTGAACTTTTTCTGGTCTAGGCAAACTTTCAACCACCAGCCTACCAGTATAAAAAAAAAACCCATTACTTACACTGTATTTGTCACAGAGTTCTTTAAGAAAACATTTTCCTGCCTTCTGGGCAGCTCTTACCAGACCAGACTTACAAGATCTTTTTTTGATATTTTAATCTTAAATATATATCAAGTCAAGATTTGAATTAAGAAACTGTAGATGTCACAGTTTGGAGATCTGGAGTCTGGATCCAGGGAGATACAGGACCAAACAAGTCCTAACATCCATTTCTACTTACATATACCAACAACATTTAAAAAATCCCTCTGTCCCCTCCACTGCTACCATTCTGCAAACCCAGCCATACACATAAGAGCAAAACCCCCTCAAGCATCCTAAATAATAGCATATGTATGGTTCAGTCTTTGGAAAGCACACAACCCCTTCAAAAGTCGGAGGAAACACTTTTCCAAGCTATCATGATACCTCATGAGAGTCCTTTCTCTAGTTATCCAACCATTTAACAATAGTCTTAAAAAGAGATCACTGAAACATCATATACTTTTCAACATTAACTTCTGTTCTAAAATAATGTGGCAATTATCCACACCCTGGCACTTGATGCTGTCTAAGCACTGGAGGTGATGTGTCCAATAGACAGTGCCTACCAAACTGCCAGGAACCAGCAAATGACTCTGCTCTCCAAAAAGGGACTTCAAGAAGGACTCTGGCACACCTCCCTCCATCCCCTGAGAGCCATGCACAGAGTGTCCTGGTAGGATTTCTCCTTTAAGGCAGAAAACTTCTCTTCTGTGGCAAGAGGATCCAGCTAAAGCCACAGTCTTCCCAGCATCTGTCTCAAGCTGTATTACTTTACGTATTCCTACTCCTATATTGGCTGTTTTATAGCAGAATATGATGATGTCCCCAATATGTTTTATACTGTTTTGAAGTTACACTTAATCCAATTGATAAATAATACTGGCTAGCAATTAGAAGCCCTAGCTAAGATTACTGGAAAAAAAAATGTCTTTACACAGGTGTAAAATGAGCAATTCCCCAATGTGCTGCACCAATTGGAATTAAACAAAACCAGTTCCCATCCTTTAGTGTATGTTTACCCTAGTAATAGAAGGAAAGAGCAGAATTATGCAGAGAGCAATCATCTTTTGGAAATGCCCCCACACCACCACAGTCAGGAGCTGTGGTTAACAATCAGAAAATGCTCTTCACAAGCCAGGAAAAGACTGTGGCATCCAGACCCTGCACTGGGGATACTGACTGCAACGAGGTTCTCAAAAAGAAAAGGGGAAAAAAAAGGAGGCGGGGGAGGAAAGAAGGCAGAATGGGATCATCATGAGTTTGGCAAAAACGAAGCTCACCCACTGGGAAGATAGGGGAATATACATGCATAATTTTACATGGATTAAGAGTTTGTGTCAAATCTGTGATGTGCTGTGGTGAATTCTTATACTGCAGTGACTCATCTTGTCTGACAGTTGCTGGGGAATTAAAGCAGTTATTTTTAAAAAATTATATGTCCTGCTTGACGCGTTATACAAATAGCCTCTTAAAAAATTAAAACGCTGTCAATGCATTTTTAAGTATAGGAGAGCTGTGGTACATTTAGGATTCTGAGTACCATACCACAAACAAGATAGGCAGACCTAAAGGAATCTGCTGATATCCCTTCAGAAAAACAATGATCTTTTTGCCATTCCCAATCCAAATGCTGTATCAAAAATTAGTTTATTATCTGTTTTAGGACAGCATGCAAACACTTTTCCCGGAGAAAAATTAACCACAAAGGAAAGAGGTGAGCTAAACCCAAATTCCTCCGGTATCCTCCAAAGGATATTTGGTTTGCTGGAATCAGAATGACTGAAGCATTCCCCTTCTGATGGATTGACAAAGGCAGATCAGGCCCTCCAGGGAAAGGCAGCACGCTGACTCCCAGCCACAGGTGCACAGGGGTTTGGCAAGGGGAAGCAGCGCTGGCTGCTGCTCCCTGCTCTGTGCAGCACAGGCACACAGGCGTGCCCTGCAGCTGCAAAGGGCAGCTCCCTGCAGCCTGTGTTCTCCTTGGGAATACACTGCTTACTCCCTGCTTTGCTTATAAAACTGACACCCCCTCGGCAACTTTCACACATCCTTGGGAAAAGTGTTTGGAGTATGTCAGTTGTGTAATACAGTAAAGATCATCTGAATGATCCATTAAGTGTAACCCTTGGGCATCGATGCTGCTCCACGTCAGCTGGCAATAAAGGTATATTTACAGCGTGCCTTCAGGACAGCTCTTCTGGGAACATCCTGGAGATTTGCATAGTCTGTTTTACAAGGCATTACCGTGTACTTCTAGCAAAGGAGTGGCAGAGAATTCTTTCGACACCCATTGAAAGCTCTTAAGTCCAAGTAGCACAGTGAAGGAGGCAAATAAAAAAATATTCAACATTAAAAAAACAAAAAGAAATTTATTTAAATTCCAATGCCTTAAAATACTCACGAATGAATTGAACCTGTTTTTAAAATAATCAAGTTATTGTCCCTCTCCAATTCGAGCACCATCAGAGAAACAAAATAGAGAGGAGCTTCATCATACAAAGAAAGGGTTCTGTTGACAGTTCTCTTGATTTCATCATAATTTCCACGATATCCAGTGCATTTTCTTAAAGCCCTAGTCTTCCACATAACTTATAAGAAAATTCCAGCTTTATGTATTTTGAGTAAATTAGTCGTCACTCCACCAGAAAAAAATAACTGAAAACATGAGCCAACTGCATCCTAACAGCTCAAAAAACAACAAGAAGCAAATGTAAGTGTTGAATTTCTTACTTCATTTCTCACATAAACTCAGACACTCAGTCATTGCACAGGTGATACTCACTTTCTAAGCAGAGCATTATCTCTCAAGGAGTGAATTAAAAGGATGACTCTGCGTCCCAAATCACAGAGGTGTGCTAGTTATTGAAATTTTCACACTTTAAAACCTCTCTGCAAGTGAAGTCAGCTGGCAAATGTTAGGGAGAAATAATAACAAGAGAAGTTAACTACACATCTCTGGTCTCAACACAGCAACTACAGGCAGACAACAAAAGACATCACTTATACCTAATAAAATAATAAACTTGGCCAGAAAGTGACTTAATCAACCCAAGTAATATTACCAAATATAATTGAGCCAGTCAATACAGTGAAAGCAGAGGACCAAATTAATTAGGTGACTGCAAGTCCAGTGCCTTTGGGAATAAGTAATCACTTATTAAAGACCTGCTGAGACTTTTTTTGAAAGTGCTCCTTGGAGAAAATTGAGACTTTCAAAAAATGAAACCTGCTATGGTTCACATGTTTAAAATGGAAGAGGACTGGTAGTATGGAATATAGGGAGAATAGTTTCTGAACAGGATGGTTTTCAAATTTCCATGTGGTGCATGTGGTTCTTTAAGTTTTTCTGCTATGTTATCTGACACTTGGATAAAATACTGGAAGAAATATAGAGCATCTTTGCCCAATTAATTTTGGTTCACAAAATAATTGGAAGGGCAATTTAACCTTGTACATCCTGCAATTGAGGGCAAAATGAGAAAAGGGGAAGGGGGCATTTTTAAAATTCTTAAGTGCTTTTAAGAATGAAGGGGTTGTAGAATTACTTTTTTTTATTTAAAGACAACACATTTCAGGACTCCTGGTTTTATTTAATCAGTTCTTCAGTTAACAACCCCCAAGCTATTCTAAAAAACAGGATGATTCATCTATTTCCACCCAGTACAATTTTATACATCGTTAGAAAACTAAAACCTCGTAAAATTCTAAACAGCCCTGAAGTACAGCTACTGCAGAGTGACATGTTGATTGCATCAGCCTAGAAGGGCTACTTCTGAGCAGTGCAAGCTTCAGTAGCTCAGGGAAACAACCAGTGTCAGAGAACATGTAAAGAACATACCAGCATCAAGCATGTTCCCTCAAACACAGCCTAACAAATGTCTCTAGAACATCTGGAATCAGGGATGATTCCACAACTTCCAACATTTAAAAAAATTAAAGTGCTGTTGAGCAGCTGCATCCTGAGAAACACAGAAGCAATGTCCCCTTCCCAAAATGAAGTGAAAACACCAACTAGAAGTGTGCTGTTGATGCCTGAGGCTGAATGTAACACTACATACCTCCACCTCACTGTGAACATCCTTCTCAACACTCTTCAGAGTGCCAGGCCACCTCTGGCACTCGCTCCTCCTGCGGGGCAGGCAACAGCACACAGCCACAGAGGAACCTGCTAAGCATTTCTGAGTCTGCCTGATCTCCACCTGCCAAGTCATGCTAATGAAACGAACAAAATCTAAAATGGTTATTCTCATTTGCATCCATAGTACCTTTTAAATAGCTATGTTTAAACTGAAAAAAGCCCATTCAGACCACAGCAAAGGGGAGGTGGAAGGCATGTGGCTTGCCCACAGTAACCAACAGGTTAGGCTTGTCACAGAGAGGAACTTAAATGCCTTCTGACCTTCCTTCTCCCTTTCAATTAGCAAGCAGTGCACAACTGCTAAAAAAAATAAAAGAAAAAAAAGGCACTTTGCTCTATGGTCTACAAAGCACGAGCCACGTGCCCGGCAGACACTTCCTGAGGCTCTCCTGCCACATCTCTGCTGCCAGTGAGGCTGTGAGCACCCAGCAGAACCAGGAACTCGGGATTTGGCTACACGGGGTGCCCGCTGTGCCAGTGGCACAGTAACCAGGTCTGGGCACAGGGACACCAGCTATTTTATGTTCAGTTTTGAGATGCACTGTGTGGGTAGGACCCACGCTATCACACTTCCTAGAGCTAGGAAGGAGACAGCTTTAGCTCACAGCTGAGGAATAACCACGCAATAATCCTGCTGGTGCTCCTCTCTTTCTCACAAAGAAGCAGCTCTCGTTCAGAAATTGTTCCTAAAGCTGCACTGCCCATAGCAGATTTTGGCACAGAGAACCACATGGCTCGGGTACAGGCAGCAGCTCTAAGACCCACAGCACCCAGAAATAAAAACTCACACTCAAACAATACAACAAATACAATGTTTCAGAAATGCAGCATTTGAAAAGCCATCTTTCTAGCAAGTCTGACTTGGGAAAGCACTTTAAAAAGAAGTATAAATTACAGCATTCACTCTGCTCCCAATATTATCAGTGGAACCCAAACACGTTAAAGCATGGAGTTTCCTATTGCCTCCAAAAGTCTCCTGCTTCACAAAGGCAGCAGAGACATCATGAGCAGAACACATGTTAAAACCTCAATCATGTGAACTTTCATGCACTTTCATAAGTGTATCTCAGTGAATGAAGGCAGTGGACTGGCTCATTATGGCCAAGCGAAGCACAAGCATAAGGTACTGCACGTTCAGGGTGTAAGGAGTCACAGAGTTGCCTTGAAAACCATTTAACTCAGGAGTAGCCAGAGTATGACTTCTGCAGCACAATAAAAATGTACAAATTACTGATCCCACTCTC